TTAGATAATACTGATTATTGCACAACTCTGTGAATATAGTAAATTATAAATGAATTATACACATAAGAAGAATGAATTTTATGGTATATAAATTATATCTCAATAAAGCTCTTATAAACAAAAAGAATTAAATAGCAAGCTTTCCCCCACCACTCCATGGTCAGTAAATTTCCAGCTTTAAGTTTACAACTAAATTATAAAGAAGAAATTGTGGATGGAGGTATGTACTATTATTAACTACTACTTCCTCTTTCCCCCACAGAATGAAAAATAAGAGAATGCAGAAAGCCTTTCTTAAATGAACTATTGCTAGGTTTTCATTCACAGTTGTCTCTGAGATTGAAGTCCATTTATAAAAGGATTTTACACCTTGTGGTGAAAACTTTTCTGGTTTTTAGTCTGAATAGAAAGTTCTCATTTCTAACAATCTCTTCTGCCTAGTCAGGTTTCAGTACAACCTACTTTGCTTATTCATTAATGCTATTTGTAAAAGGCATGAGATTAGTAGAAAGGGAACTACCCTTTAAGGAGGTCTGTATGTGTCAGATGCTGTCAGACACTCTACTTACATTTCCTGTCCAATGCTCACAACAGTTTTGGGAGGGAGTATTACTGTCACCTCTTTGAAGATGAGAAAGCAGGCTAACAGGGGTGAATGAGTGGCCCAAAGTCACACGGTCAGAAATGGCAGAACCCAAGACAGCCTGTTCTCTTTGCTCAGCATCGAGCTGCCTTCCAGAGTTCTCAGTTCTATGTAGTCATGGGGATACTCTTATCTTTATGATCCTTTATGGCTTCGGTGAAGGCTAAAATTGCTAGACTTTGGCTACTTGCAGAGTTCAAGGTTGAGGGTGATTTTCAAAGGATTGTGTGATTTCAGACATTTCCAAACTAGTTTTCCATTATTCCTAACTGTTCAACATTTGTTCATCAACAATTTGTTAAGCATCTACCACGTGCCTAGCGTTGTACACTTCAGTTAACTAAAATGATTATATGAATGTGTTCAGGTTTTAGAACTCTGTCCAAAAATAAAAAAAAAAATAGAACTCTGTCCATCTGGAGGAGGTTGAACAGGGGGTGCCTCTTTTCCTGTCCTGCCGGAGAGCAAGGACGCAGTGGCCGAGAACATCCTACCCAGGATGGCTGGGCTCATGCATGCACATGTGCACACCTGACCTGTCCTGTAAAGCATGCTTGACCTTCAGCTTTGTGCCCCTTCAGAATCTGGCCCAGAGCAGGTGCTCAATGACTGTTGAATAAATGATTAAGCAATTCCTTTTACCAATCCACTAGAACTTGGGTTAGTCACTTCATTGCTCTGGGCCTTCATTTCCTCATTTGTAAAATGGGGATAAAGGGAATACCCACTTTCAGATGGCAACTTTGAGATCCCATGAATGATGCGAGGCACACAGTGAGCAATCAATACACTGTACTTGTCCTTTATATTATTACTGTTGAGGGCATGAGATGAATATTCTTCTAGGTCAAGTGTCCTCATGTCCCCTATTACCTTGTGACCTGGTTTTTCTTTAAGGCTAAATGACCCAGTCAAATGGGGAATATTGGTCTAAGACCTGGAGGATGAGACAGATACAGTAATCCTATGAGAGTATATCCAGTGCCGCAACCCTGCAGTTTGGAACATTCCACTCTTTGTCCAGAGTGCATGTGGGAGTGTGGGTTATGTTTCAGAAATGGTAGTGTTTGACCTGAGGGCATAGCTCCAGGCCAATGCCAGGCAGCCTCTCACCAGGCCTTAGCCATTAGCCTCTAAGCTGACCCTGTGTATGTATGTTTGTGTGTGCATGCGTGTACACACATGTGCAGAGACCCACAGGACACTAATGTCTCATCAAGGAAAAGACTGTCTCCCACTGGTCCTGCCATGTCATTGTTAACCACAGGGAGTTCCCTGAGACCTGACAATTGAGGCCCTAAGATACATCCCTAAAACCCCATGGGTCTGGGGCAGGCAAGGCCTGGACTCAAGAATGGCCCCATGGAGAAAAGGGTCCCCCTACACACTGGCAGCTGATTTATTGGAACACCAATCCCGTAAGCTGAAGCCAATATTTTATCTGCCAATTTTGTATCCTATTACCAGACCTCTTGCAACTTTCAAAGAGACTCTTTGGGTCCAGTGATTCCCCGAGAGGGAACCCAGCCTTGGAAACAACCATAAGTAGCATGAGGTCCCGCTGCCTTCCTCTGCCAGACATGAGCAGAGACAGAAAGCACTCTCTACCAAAGACAGACAGCAACCCCCACGGGCCTGGGGCAGACGGCTGCTGTGTGCACATGGCCACCTTCTGTGCTTCTCAATGCTGACAGGGCTTTGGGGGTGCCTCTTTAGGGAGGGAAGGGGGACCTAGAACCATGCATGGCCTCATGGACTCCAGTAGGAGAGCAATGGGGAGCTGGCCCTCACCTCACCCTTCTCAGAACCCAATTCACAATTCCTTTCCTTGCTGCATTTCCCAAACAGACCAGGCTTGACCCACCATCAGGGCCAGCTTGATGGGCATCAATCCCTGCAGTCACCTAGGGCTCCACATTTATTTTTAATGCTCTGCTATTGACATCTTGAAATTCTTAATCGTTTTGAGCAAGGGGTCCTACCTTTTCAGGTTACACTGGGCCTGAAAATAAGGGAGCCAGTTCTGTTTACTATTTTGCTCATGCAAGGCCTGACATCTGACAGCTGTCCTCTTTCCTTTCTGTTTCTTAAGTCCTATCTATGCTGCCCAAAGGCAACGTCCTGATAGAAAAATGTTTTTAAAACCGCAAATGAGAGCACGTTATCTTGGGAAGAGCTTTTCTGCTTGGCTGAAGATGGAATGGTGATGATTGATAATGGATACTTAATAGCCCCACCAAACTTGGGATTTTCTTAGTTCTGTTCAAGGCTAACGGCTGTGGTGGAGGTTTTCTGCCCCTAGTCCTGATGTTACATTCCTTGAAGAAGTGTAGGGGTGGTATATAATAAACTCATTTTATCTGGCCTTTGGTGTTCTTGTCCAAAGCAGGACATGGGTACAAGGTAAAGTTCTGAGGCCCAAGCTGTTATCTCGCTTGCCCATTTACTTGCTTTGACTTCAGGCAAATACTAGTCTCAGAGACTAAGTTTACCCTTCTTCAAAATGGGTTATGTACCACACCATGAGGCTTTCGGGCTTCAATCTGTGCGTTGGGGCAGATCCAGGCTCTTGGGAGAGTGACTTTTAGAAGCTGGTGGTTATTAATTCAGGTACACGTCTCCCTTCTGACCCGTGGCCTGGCAGAACACGTGAATCTGGCCATACAGTTTTGGAGGGTTTGTGCCTTTTCCCCTGAAGCCCATTCAAGGTACCCCAGCTAAGGCAGCCTTCCTCTGGGTGTGGTTTCAGACTGATCCTCAGATGTGCCTGAGGGGTAGAGAGTTTCTGGTTCACATTGTTTTTTCTTCTGCAGAGCTGTGCTTGGGCAGCTCGCCTGTGAGCAGCATTGTGAGCACAAGGCGAGGCAGTCTCATGACTCTTGCTGTTGTCTCCAGGATGGGGGTGTTCTCAAGGACATTATTCTCAGCATAACAGAGTGGCTCCTTTGTGGAAGGAAGTATATAGGAGAGGCTTCTCGCAGGTCTCGGTACTCAGACAAACTTAGCTTTTGCAGAATGAGTTTATTACTCTGCACACTGTGATCCTGAGAGCCAAGCTGCTGGGATATTCAAAGCCAGATTTCAGGGCTTCGCTGGCAAGCCGACAGGCCTTTGGGCAGGACAGCCAGAGGTCAGTCTTACCCCTGGCTTGGTTATTTTTGTAACCCCTGCTCCTCTGAGATTTTCATTTGCCACAATTCCCTTAGCTTTTTGTTGTACACATTTTTCTTGTATGTATCCTCATATCCATCTCTCTCTGCTGCAAATGGGGCATGATACAAATATGTGAATTCACTTTTAAATCTATGTCAGGTAAGTTGAAAGGATTAAGAACCGATCTGCCTTAGGAATGTCATGGGTGCAGTACCATTGCTGAGTGGGGGGCTGGGATTGAGGGGAGGCAGGAGGTTTTTCCTATAGACTTTATCATCTTACCACACACAGCAATCCCCTGACCCACTATCCCAAAATACTTATTGGCACCTGCTTCTTTTCTAATTCACAAAAGCTCACTGAACACATTTTGAAATCTTTGCAACCTCCCCTTGAGAGTATGCTGAATTGGCTTAAGTCAAGAGCTGGTAACAAACTCTAGCTGAAACTCTCATTTTATGGGTCCACAAGCAGACTTGTTAGAGCTACAACAGACCATGGGCCCTGGGGAGTGGGAGGTACCACACTTCTGGGAGGGCTGCATGGAAAGGAGGGTGGAGGAGTGTGGAGGGGAGATAAGGAGCACTGAAGAGGGGCGGGAACACCACCCCTAGCACAGTGGGGCTCCGGATCAAGCCCTACGCCTGGCCTACAGCGTTACGCGGCCCAGGGAGCACAGGGTTCTCTGGAGGATTCTGCTCAGGAAATATAATCACAGGTTGTGGGGGACCACTTGCATTTTTCAACAGGTAGAAGAAGCTTTTATACCTGGATCAAGTGACCATGCCCACCACCCTGCCCTGCAGGCATTTCAAACACTGTCCCTCCATGCCCGAGGGTCATGCTTCAGTAACTTCTGAAGCAGAAATAGCGCCTCTGCTTCATACTACTTCACAGTTGAGGGGTCACCAGCCAAAGCCATGCCTCAGCTCACTTCTCCGTATACAATGTAAGCAGAGCCAGAGGTATCACTCCTCCTTTCAGAAGAGGGGGTTGAGCCTCAGGCAGGACAGTGACTTGCCCCAGTGACTGACAGAGTCAGCAGTCAACCTCAGGGCTGTGACGCCTACGCCCTTTGCACAGTAGTGAGCGGGGCACAGGGCAGGAGAGCCTGCCTGGCTGCCACGCTAATATGCCCTCGGAGATGGGCAGGGGCCGGAGCTGCCCGAGGGCTGGGCTCACACTTCGTGTTTTTCCCTGGCAGTGGAGTCTGGTGTGCGAGGAGGATTGGAAGACGCCTCTTACCACGTCCCTGTTCTTTGTAGGCGTGCTTCTCGGCTCCTTTGTGTCTGGGCAGCTGTCAGACAGGTAAGGATGATGGGAGGGAGGAAAGGTGACTGTTGATACACTGCCTGTCCTGGGGGTGGACTGAATTTAGGGTAATTTCACCAGAGGAAGGGAGGCCCCATAGGCCACCAAGTGAGTGACCGGAGGAACTATGATGTATCCTGTATCCTCTGTGCTCAGCCCCTTGTGGGGAACCACTGGAAAATGGGGCCCTTGTATCACCGACTGTTAATCTCTTAGTTGTACCCAACTCTTTGCGACCTCATGACTGTAGCCTGCCAGGCTCTTCTGTCCACAGAATTCTCCAGGCAAGCATACTAGAGTGGGTTGCCATTTCCTACTCAAGAGGATCTTCCCGACCCAGGGATCGAACCAGGGTCTCCAACATTGTGGGCAGATTCTTTACCATCTGAGCTCCTCAAAAATATACACTGCTTGCCTCCCCACGGCCTCCTCACCCCACCCTGTTTTTTGCTGCCATGTGATCTATCCACAAACAGCCATTTGCCAGAGGCAAAGTCAGATGGTGAGTACCCCTCCGTAACTGTGCACCTGTCTCTACTGTGGGTCAGGCCCCTGGCTGGACACTGGGCCACAGAGCTGATCAAGGCTGGTTCAGGGCCTCCTGGAGTGCAGTCAGGAAGAGACAGCATCAGCGCGTGGGGAGACATGACCACGCTGACCCCTGAATGTTCTGCAGGGACCAGGGCAGGAAGGTGGGAGTGCTCAATGGCAGTGTTGGGGAAGGCTTTCCAGAGGAATGGCTTAGTCGTGAAGCCCAATGGGACCCCAGACCCAAAAGCCTGAGGTGACCTGAGTGTGGAAGATGAGATGGGAGATGTCCTGTGTTCCCTTTGAGCTACTGGACACTATTAGAAAATGAAATTAAGACGTAAGCCAACTGTAGTGTCATTTATGGATGTTGCTGGAAGCTACTTTCCACAGAGCAGTGGTTCCCAATTTGGGATGCACAGTAGAGTCACCTGGGAAATATCTTTAAGCCCTGATACCCATACTGCATCCAACAGTCTACATCCAGACAATAAGAATCTCAGAAGGCTGTCACAGTATTTTTTAAGTTCTCTTGATTCCAAGCACAACCTAGGTTCAAGACCACTGACACAGAGGGACTCTTGGCTCTGGGTTGACAGAATTCTCATGTTGCTGACATTAGATGCATCTTCAGTTTGTACTGTGCTCATGTTCCAGAAACGTGATGGCAGCTTCTACCTATGACTCATTCTAAAGAGCAAATTTCCACGTGGTCTTTACATAAGCTGCTCTGTGTTTTCGAGATCTGCTGCCTCCACAGGAGGCTCAGAATCTCAGAAAGTTACCTGCTGGGCAGAAGGATGCCTGAGACCTCACCCAGGAAGAACCTGGGAGGGTGTGATAGGAGAAAAGCCTGTCACAGCCCTGAGAAAAACCATCTGCAGGGATGCCTGACTCAGGCCTTCGACAAGCCCTGAGTATGGTGCTGCTGTGACCTGCACAGGCCGCTTCTTGTGTTGTGCTGTATTCTACAGATTTGGCAGAAAGACCATCCTCTTCGCAACCATGGCTGTGCAGACTGGCTTCAGCTTTCTGCAGATTTTTTCCATCAACTGGGAGATGTTCACCGTGTTATTTGTCATTGTCGGCATGGGCCAGATCTCCAACTACGTGGTGGCCTTCATACTAGGTAGGAATGGCTTCTGACCTGCAGGGCTCCTCCTTACAGTCCTCAGAGGGGCCTGGGAAGAGGGGGCTGCTGAAGAGGGCACCAGGAGCGCTCTTACTCAGCACAGAAGGAAGCACTGTAATTCATGGTCTGTGCTTCCAAAAAGCGATCAGCTTCGGGGACATATGTGCTGGGGAGGAGGCTGTGGTCACAGGTTCTTTGACAGGTCACAGGCAAGGCAGGCACTCACAGGGAGCCAGCTCTTTGCTGGCCCTGAAATGTGACTGTGAGTAAGAGCCAAGTGATAACTGAGGCACATTTCAGAAGCACGGGGCTTGGGAAGGACACAGAGGAGGGATTCTTGAGGGAGAGACAGTCCGGGGATGTGTCTGATCTGAGCTATGAAGGCTCAAGATTTCTGCCTGGGCCACGGCTAAACAGTCTCCTGGCAGCTGGGCCTGGCCTTTAGGGGGATTAAGGGTGGTCGGTGCGGCTGGTACACAGGTGGAGGAGGCACGTGTCAGGAGTCCGGTGCCAGCTGTCCATCTTTCGGCAGATCTGGCTTCACCCCTAAGTCAAAGCCCACCCCCAGAGCATATCAGCTGCATACAGGACAAGCCTCATTGCTGGGAGCTGTCCTATCTCCTAGCAGCAACCTTGCTTCTGGAATATCAGGGCGCATGAGGGGGACTCACAAACTAAAGGTCAGGAGGAGGCCCCCAGGGTCCTCAACAGCTTTTCCCAGGAAGCAGCAGGGTGAGCTCCAGGCATGTTGATAAGGGTCTGCAGGAGTGAAGTCCCCAGCAGGCTCTCTGAGGCCACCTCCTCAGGTGAGAGAAGGGGCAATGGGGCCACCTCTGGGACAATAGATACTCATTCCCATAACCTCTGGTGTGATCATATTTCCTGTTGGCTGTCTCAGTTTGTCCCTATTGCCACAGTGTAATTACCAATAGCACCCCTTTAATGTAAGTCTAATGATTCTTATCTCAGAAGTCTGAATCTAGTAAGATGATTCTGATAGCTTTTAAGATTCTGGATGACTCGTTGGCTTTCAAGATCCTGTGTTCTCTTTGTTGAGGATGTGTACACCCTGTCAGGTTGCCAACTTGGAACTGTTCAAATTCTACTCCTTTAATCATTTGTGAAGCGCTCCTTGCCAAAGGCCTAGCCTTGGCATCTGAAGAAGGAGGTGGGGAAGGCATGCTGCAGTCACACGACCCCAGCAGAAGCACCCTCTTCAGCAGGAGAGGACCTCTGTCCTTTCTGCAGGGGAAGAGGGGAGGGGGGAAGGATTTATTGAGAGGACACAGAGAGCTGCCAGCCAGTGGTGCTAGAAACTGGAGACTGGAAGAATTCAGGACAGAAGTTGCAACCTCCTAATACCTGATGACCCCAAGGACACAGGGCTCTTGAACACAGCAGAGTTTGTTTTTCTCATGGTTTAAAAGCCCACAGACTCCATCTTCCTTTTGGTGACCACCCTGTACCTGGAAAGCCCAATGGGTAGCTTTGCCTAGGCCAGAACATACTGGAGACTAAACAGAGGAATCTGCCTAGAGTGAGCAGAGCACCTTTAGGAGAACCGAAAGAATCACCTGAAATGGAAGGGCACGAGGTCCTAGTGAAGCCAGAGAAGCCCTGTCCTCGGGACCAGGAGTCAGGTGCTGTCTGTGCCGCGCACGGCATTCCCCAGGGCCTGCTGAGCGGCAGCACCTGGACCGGCCTTTCCAGGGGCACGGGGCGCTTCTGAAGCCATAGAGCCCCCTCCCCCATGTGAGTGGATAAGGCCGGGAGAGCCCACGCCAGGCTTCCTGCAGGGAAGCCTCTGCCCAGCTGACCCTGACACTACAACCAGCTTCTCTCCCTGCTCTGAGTGGGAGGGCCAAGTAAGAGCTGGAAGATCAGTCAGAGCCTAGAGTAGGAGCCCCCGTCAGTGGGCGGGATGCTGGGTGCAGCAGGCTCTCCATCAGCTCTAGGGTGCTCTGGGAGCCTCCCTGGCTGTAGTGTTACTCCTTGGTGTTCTACAGGAAACTGCTGACGTTTGTGTGCTGGTTTGAAACTCCTTGTCCTGGGTTCTCAGGCCTGAGCATTTCAGTGTCACTGAAAATCAGCCTGCCCCTTGGAGCAGCCAGAAGCCCTCGTGAGCGCCTGGAGTAGGATGGGGATGGGAGACACAGCAACATCTCTGGCTTCTGGCAGCGCAGCAGCGCTCTCTGGTGTTCTAGGACTGAAATAGCCAAATTATGGGTTTCATTTAACTAAAAGCAACCCAAGCTTTGGATCTGGTCTGAGTTCTGCCTGGCCCTTCACCTTCACTTTTTGCCCTCTGGCTCCAGAGAAGGGTTGGCAAGACTGTGTGGTGATAATCTGCCATTTTAGGAGTTCTCACATTAACTCAGGAAACTGAATTACTCCCACTCTCAACACAGTGGATTCTCAACAAAAATGGATTCTCTCCTTGCTCTGCTTTTTAACAATTATAAAGCCTGCCAGAGTCACAGGAGACAAGAAAGGGGAAGAAAGGAACAGTGCTTCTTAAAGAAACAGAACATGGATACACCTGAAAGGGAAGAGGCTGCCAAAACGATGCTGGCTCAGCAGCAAGTGACCACTCAGGACCAAGGACACCGACCCTACCCACATTCCAGCTCTCCCATCACAATCTCCTACTGTTTCTTGACCTGTCCAAAGCCTCTGGGTGAAACTCTAGTGGCATCCTCCTTTATTTCTCATAACTAGCTGCTTAAATTTATTTTGCAAAGTTGAGTGTCTCCTGTCTTCACTGATTCATTCATTCAGTATTTTCCCAGCACTGTTAACGATATTTGTTCCAGCATGCTGAACTACTTAAAATGCTGTTTCCTCTGATGTCTTCATGTTTTCTTCCTTTTGATAAGTACATAACTAATGGCATCTTCCTTTGTAAGTTTGGCTACCAAGAAGCTCATGCAGCCTTTATTAGTCACATAGTTTTTAAAAGTTTTAAAATTGAGTTTACATAGCATAATGTTAACTCTTATAAAGGTGTATAAATTCAGTGGTTATTAGTGTATTCACAACGTCATACAATCATCGACTGTACCTAACTCCTGAACATTTCATCATTCACAAAAGAAACTTATTAGCAGTTACTTCCCCATTCTCCTCTTTCCCCAGCTCTTGGCAACCACTAATCTACTTTCAGTCTGTATGGATTTGTCTATATTCTGGACATTTCTGATAAACAAAATTTTACAATATGTGGCCTTTGTGACTGACTCCTTCACTTAATGTTGTCAAAGTTGGTCTGTGCTGCAGAATGACTCAGTACTCCAATGTATGTAGATACCACATTTTGGTCATCTCTTCAGCAGGTGACAGACATCTGGGTTGTTACCATTCTTTGACCAATTTGAAGAACGTTGCTATCAGCATTTGAGTACAAGTCTTTTGTGGATCTATGTTTTCAGTTCTCTTGGGCATGTACCTAGGAGTGGACTTGCTAGAATTTATGGGAATTTTAGGTTTTACCATTTAAGGAACTGTCACACTATTTTCCAAAGCGATCTGTTGCATATTTTTGCTCTTTTCTCCAGGACATTGCTTTTCACCTTTCTTTGTATTTTACTTTAATGTTACCATTATTTTATTTTATTCAAATTATAAGCTACTTCAAGGGAGAAATGGGATATAAATACATTAAAAAGATGCAGAGATTTGCTGGCAACCCTTGTTTGCACTGCCCTGAGAGGGAAGAATTGGGGAACACAGGGAGGAGGTAGGACTCACTCCTGTCTGTCCTCAAAGGGCTCAAATCTGGTCGGCAGAGGCAGCCAAGGCAGCTGTTACAGAGAATGTGAGTCGTGGGTCTAGGAGTGTGAGGGGAGCACAGATAAATTGTCTGTGTATATGCATAGACAAAAAAGGTTTATAGAGAAGAAAGAGGACAAGGGAATATCTGCTATTTTGATGAGAATTCTGAGTATTTTCCAGGAACACAGAGAGGTTTTTGCTGTCTTCTGTTGGATCTCTTGGTCAAAGGCACTGTGTTTTCCAACATTCCCCTGACATCTGGTACATTTCAATTGTTTGACCAGGATAAAAGAATTAACTATTCCTGAGTACCTGCCACATGCCAGACACCTAACTAGGCTCCTTACCTACGTTAATCTCAGTCCTCATAATAATAACTCCATGAAGCAGGACTTATCAAAGTCACCCTAGTAGCAAATGAGCATCAAGGGGCCCAGCCTCTGCACGTGGCTGATAGAGGACCCAGGGTCCTACCCTATATCCTGGCAACTGCACCACAGTCATGTTTCTTGAGCTGGGGTCTGCAGACCTTTGCTGGTCATTCATGGAGGGGCATATCCTGCCCCAAGTGGAGGGATCCAGTGGTTCCTGAGCTGATTACCATAGAAGGGCCCTGAGCAACATGACAGTAAGCCTGGCCCTCTCTGAGTCACTCACTCTCAGGGAGAGTGTGAGGTCCTGGAGGTGGTGACAGGCAGTGGGCAAACACTCCTGGCCAAGACATGCTTCTTTGGCTTAGCAGTCAGAGTCTCACTCACAAGTGATACTCAGAGGCCCAAGCAGATCAAGACCAAGCAGGCTTTGTTCTAGGAGCAAACACCTAAGGGGTAAAGGAGGTCAGGACAAGGAGCCCCTAGTGAACAGAGCCGGAATCACCAGTCACCTCTCTCACTGCCAGTCACATGGAGTTTGTGACACCTGCTGGCAGTGAGAGGTCTGCAGGAAATAAGACTCCTCTCCCAGTGTCTCTGAGAGGACTGGTTGCCCTCTCGTTAGTTTGAAGACCAAATCCTAACTTCTAAAATGCAGGTGTGGCCCTACTCATCTCTCACACATGTCTCCACTAGAACTCAGTCGAAGGACAGCTTGACAGGGCGAAGGCTTTGCTCCCATGTAATTGTTTTTTCTGGACTGTATCCATAGATTAAAGTGATCAGGCTTAAATCCTGTCTGTCCCACTTATTGCATATGTGTGAGTTTAGGCAATTTGCTTTAACTCTTTAAGTCTCAGCTGATGATATGTAAAACAGAAGTAATATTAGTTGTTATATGATTGTTGTGAAGATTCAAAGAGATAATATATGTAAACACTCATTCTGGAACCTGGCTCAAAGTGCCTACTCAAAACAATGCTAACTATGAAGATGATGATGATGGTGCAAAAGGCAGAGTGATTTTCTAAAAGTCAGAGAGCAGGAAGTCATGCTCCCAAGGAGCTATTCAGATTTGTGCCATCCCTGTTGCTCCACATAAGGGCAGAAGACTAGATTAATGAAGCTTCTGTCCCCCATGGGTACTCTGCAAAGCTAGAGCCACTCTGTTCTGACCTGAGACCCAAGCTTAAAGAGGATCCAGAAATTCAGTGGGGTAACTTCTTTCTCTTCTCTTATCAGGATCATGGAAGTATGAGGGAGCTCCCTTGGCCTCATGAGTCTACAAGATTCCCACTTGGTCCTGTGCACTTTCTCTTTTCCACAATCACATCCTCTGCTGCTTCACTTCTGAATCTCTGCTTAGGAATAAAGCACTATTCATTGTCATATCTTGATAATCACAGCCAAAGTGTTTAGAAACCATGGCATGGTGAGTCTTCTTATGGAGTGACAGGAAGGTCATTAATGAGGTAAGAAAAGATATGGGAACAACGCTCATGATCCTGAAAGAAGTCTGGCCCTATTCCTGGAAATGAGTTTAAAGGCTAAGAAATGCCCTGGGTGGTTAGAGCTATTGTCTGCAGTCCAAGATGTGAGAGATAGACAATACTGGCCATTTCTATCAGTCTGGCTTTTAGAAATGGCTGTTCAAGACAGAACCACTGAGACACATCTTCAGTTATGCTGAGTGAGGAAGAAGAGAGGTGAGGATAGGAACATGTAGGAGGGGAGAAAGGGAAAGCAGCAGAAGTAGTCATTTTACTGCTTCTCTGGAATTAGTCCTTAATTCCTTAGCCTGTGCTCAGGGCATATAAACACAACTAAGAAACTCCTTCTTAAAACCCAAGCCCAAATAACCTTCAAATCATCTGTTTTGTATTCTCTGGGCTACTTCTCAGTAGTGGTGGGCAGATCTCAAACAAAAGATGGAGCTATTGCCATTGGCCACATCTCCACCCTGGGGCAGAGGACCAAGAGTGGACTCTGTGGAAAGGGCCTGAGTTTTGTGACAACAGAAGGAGCCTGTTTTCAGACTCCTTGCCTCAAATCAAGCGCTCCAAGAAGCAAGCAACATCTCTTGAAGAACTGGGGCTGAGCCATCCACTGTGGCGCTGAGCAGAGCAGGAGCCTTTCCCAAAACAGGGCCAGATGCCAAGCATCTGGTGGTTTTGTGGTGTTCTGGGAAAGCTCTGTGAGTTCTCTCCATGTGTGCCCAGCTCCAGGGCTGCTGCCTGCCAGGCCAGAAGAGCAACTTCTTGCCTTTCATTGGGCTGTATGGACTGCCTCCGCCTGGGGCTGATACCTGGGCACTGTGTGGCCTCAGTGGAATTCAGCCCTGGGCACTGAGGCCCTGCTCTGAGGACCTCCATAGCCAGCTGGATCCTCTTTATCATTTCTCAGGGCTCGAGGGTAGCTAAGAGTGTCCTAACACAGCTCAGTAACTGAACTCTCCACTGTTTCCAAGAGACCCATATCTGCTTATTTACAGTGGTGAATGGTGGGAGAGGCAGAATGCTGCATGATCCACACACCCTCAGGAGAGCTCCCATGTCTCCTGGGATGCCCTCACTGCTCCTCACCCTGGGGCTTTTATTTTGGAAATGTGGCATTCTCAAAAGAGGTTACCTCTTAGGGCTGAGCATGATGTTCATATGACATGAGGAGACATTTAAAAAAAAAAATCTACAGCTCCTTTAAAATCTCATGAAAACTCATCCTTCTATGAGGTGGTAAGTCTTGGGTCATGTTCCACCTTCCTCCACACTCACCCCTCCTGCTCTGGGCCAGGAGGCAAATAACTCTTTCCTCTTCTAAGTGGTTATATTTTTTAACTCTAACTGCCAGGTAATGGTGTGAAAAAGCAAATATTGAAGTGAGTTAAAATGCTAATACTCCTTCCTTGTTTTGAACAGGAACAGAAATTCTTGGCAAGTCAGTTCGTATTATATTCTCTACGTTAGGCGTGTGCACATTTTTTGCAGTTGGCTACATGCTGCTGCCCCTGTTTGCTTACTTCATCAGAGACTGGAGGATGCTGCTGCTGGCGCTGACGGTGCCGGGGGTGCTGTGTGTCCCGCTGTGGTGGTGAGTGTGGCTCTGTCTCAGACAGCCCTCTACTGCGGGCCAGCAACCTGGAGCCCAGAGCCTGGTGCTGACCTTGACGTGGGCCTGCTGATCTCACTGGAGCAGGCTGAGGCCTCAAAGCCCACAGACGGTTTCCCTTGTTGGGGGTGGGCATGTGTGCTGGGGTTTGATTCCCCACCGTCCCACAAAGCACCATTCTCAGGAAACCCAGTCCCCCTTGGGCTATCCCAACTCTTCTCTGTTACTGGATGGTTGCTGCTGTTTGTGGAGATGGTACTGTTGGGTTTTGTTATTTTCAGCTCTGCCCCCTGCTCTTCTGACACTTTTCTCTAGGAAATCTCTTTTTCCTTATGGCTTCAACTAATGTAACTTCCGCAAGCTTCCCTATCATGTAATGATTAGCATCTAAGATGTGACTATTTATCTGCTTTGTCTTGAAGCGCTAGAGAATCACTTCTGTTTAATTAATTGTTAGAGAAAATATTGTTTTCACTCCTCTCACAACCCTTCAACCAAATTTCAACACATCAATGTGGGAATAACAAAGTGTTGAGATGCTGACCCCAGTCTCACCGAGTTATGGCTATGGGGAAGATTTTATGTGAGAGAACAGAATGACAATAATGGAATAAGGTCCCAGCCATATGTTTTATTTGGGGGAGATTCCTCATTTCTTTGGTTTTTCCATATTTAAATAAAAGGAAAGGGGATTTTTTCCCATTATTGAGTCCGGTACTCTCTCTCTTTCTCTCTCTCTCTCTCTCTCTCTCGCTCTCTCTCTCATTGATTAGTCTTGATTTGGTTTCATGATATCAAAATCAAATCTCCCAGCAGTGACTGGTTTTACTGAATTGCTTGACCTCTGTCTGCTTACAAACAATTAAAGTATTTTTGATCATGTTTTGGGGCTCACAGGTTAGACTAGCCCTCATGGTTGCCCTGTCCTAGGGACATACTTAGGAAGTGTGCCTTAGGAAGTTTCCCAGAAGGACCTTAATCTTGCTGCAACTGTTAGGCAGCCATAGAGGCTGACAGGTGGTACTTCTTGGCCTTGTTAGACCAGATCGCTCTGGTTAGACCACTCCAAACTACTGTCCTTTTATGATCTCTAAGGCTGATATGACTCACCAGTGCAAATCCTTGGCGTAAGTGTGCATGGGGAAAAGAAAGCACTTTTTTTTTTCTTACTTCCTTAGAATTTGAGAAACAGTGTGTTAGATACTATTCTGATTTCCTGACCCAGTCTGAGAGTAGGGCAGTTTTCTTGAATGAGAATCACCATCATCACCATCATCATCACATCACATCAGCATCACACCCTCTCTCCACAACACCCCCTGCTAACTGAATTTATTGTAAAAGGTGCTGGTGACCAGACAGTCTCTCAAGTCACAAGACGAGATCATTCAGAGGTTACTTTCTGCCTCTTCAGTTGAATGATTTTGGTAATCTGTGTTCTTTGGTTCTAGTTGTCATTTCAGCATAAGAGACTAGTACTTTCAAAATATGTTATAGTCAACTGTATTACTATATGATTCTATAAGAGAGAGAAAACAAAAATAGAAGGGCTCTGACTGACTGTAAGAGATTAGTACGGATTTTAATTTGTGGGGCTCGGATCTTTGCCTCGGAACCAAATGCCACAGGAACAACTCTGACAGGTCAGCCTCTTGGGTTTCTAGCACAGAAGGTCCATCCCACAAGGAGCTGCTTCCTCTTGCCCTGAGGAGAGCTGTTCCCATGTGGCCCACGGGCTGCTCCGTGAGTGCTCCTGGCTGTGGGCACGTTGTACCCGGGACAGGCCTGCCCCAGACAGAGCGCAGCCCGGGGCCAGGACAAATAAGCTGAGTGCTTGTCCTGAAAGTTTAACAGTCTTATCATTTTTCTTTAAAAATAAAAACAAAATAGCTCTCTTTTTAACACTTTGTCCTTGAGGGTGGGATTTGCTGAAGCAATGCCCATCCATCGGGGTGGGCTGGGATGATGTGGGGATGGCTTCTGGCTGCTGTGACCTCTGCTACCTACTCAGCATGTGATATAGACTCTCTAGCAACACTTTTCCCCTGTTCAATTTGAATTAAATCTACAGAGAGGCTGTAATGTAAACCTTATTTGGCCCTCCACTACCTTGAAATGATGAGTTAGACTTATTTATACACCAAAAAACCATGGCAATTCAAAAGTTAAGATGACAGCAACCCTAAGTACAGTGGGCTGAAAATTGGAGCAGGTGTTTTGGGCGCTTTTTAATGTCCCCAATTTCCTTGGCAGTAAGTGACCACAAGTATGAATGGAATGTTGTAGGTGGGGAAGGAGCCCCTAGGTGCAACATGGGTAAAGTTTTGCAATATCTAGCTGACTAATCATTTGGAACTTGAGGCCAGTGATGGCCCTCAGAGCTGATAGTTAAGAAAGGTAGGATATGTCTAAGAACATCTTGGTTGGGGAAATATACCTCTCAGAAGTAGAAGTGCCCGTGCTGTATAGTTCTTCATTAATACAGTTGCCACTAGCCACATGCAATGACATGTTAAAATTAAGGAAGTGCAAGTGTTAGTCTCTCAGTCATGTCCGACTCTTTGCCGCTCCATGGACTGTAGCCCGCCAGGCTTCTCTGTCCATGGGATTCTCCAGGCGAGAATACTGGAGTGGGTTGCCAGTCCCTTCTCCAGGGGATCAAACCTGGGTCTCCCACATTGCAAGAGGATTCTTTACCATATGAACCACCAGGGGCCGCAAGTAAATGTAAAATTGGATTTTTCCATCACACTAAGTCACACCAACTCAATAACCACATTTGGTTAGTGGCTGCTGCATTGAACAGCACAGATACACAGCACCAGAGGAAGTTCCCTGGGACAGGACAGCTCTAATTACCAAGGGCCAGTGGCCTAACATCATCACAGTTGCTATAGGGACCAACCAAGTATATATTCCAAAAAATGAAAGTGGGTTCATTTTTCAACTCGTGTGCTTGTGGTAGGCTAGGGACGGAAGCTGGGGGTTAGCTATTTGATATGTTGTGTTTTGCTCTGAGATAATTCCTGTTGAGGCTTTTCAGGGGCCTGTTAATTATAGGAAGGCTGTATCTGCTACATATAATTTATTTTCTAGGACCACTTAACACTGACAAATAGATAAGGAAAACAAGAGCTCGCAAAAGAATGGCTAAGCAGTTCTGAGTAATAAAGATTAGGAAAGAATGATAAAAAATAAATAAAAATAGAAAAATTAGGAAAGAATAGAAGTCAGCCATGTCTGAGCATCAGTTAAAAATGTGGGTAGATTGTGTGATAAAAAGTCAGTTTCTAACTAACACAACATTGTTAATCAACTATACTCCAATATAAAATAAAAAATTTTAAATGTTTCTAGACAATTTAAAAAAGAGAGAGAGAGAGACCACATTGGCTGACTCCCCATAACTGGTTTGGGTACTCACTGAGCTGAGAATCTGTTGAAAGCCATGGGACATCCCACAGAAGTGTATCAATGCACTCTCCTCCTCCTCTGACTGCCTAAGGAAATGCCCGAGGAACACAGATGCCTTCTTTTACCCAGTAAACTTGTGAGCCTCACCAGCTGAGTCACCAGGAATTCCCCTAGGGATGGATACACTGGAAAGATACTAGACTCTGTTTCTTTAATGAGCCATGCTGGGTATGAAGTTTTGGGTGGTATTCTCCAGCTGCCCTTGTTTAAACATGCCCATAGTTAATGTTACCCCTTGTAGGCTGGCCCTGTCTTCAAGTACAACTAACGATTGGTCTTATAATTTGATCACAACTTTCAAACGTGAAGGTACTTTTATTTATTCCTACAAATAATGGAGATCTTATGAAGCCTCCCTCCTGATGTTCTTTAAAAAGACAAACTAGAATTTTACAAAGTAAAAATTATTTGGGGGCAACTTACAGTTGATAGCATCAACCTTGTTACTGTGAAAAATTATAAAACATCCAAAATGAATTTTAGGTTTATTCCCGAATCTCCCCGATGGCTGATATCCCAGAGAAGATTTAAAGAAGCTGAAGATATTATCCAAAAAGCTGCAAAAATAAACAACATAACTGCCCCAGTGGTGGTTTTTGATCCTGTGGAGGTAAGGATTTGCAAATGTCTTCTCTTGAGATCAGCTGTGCATTCTTGATTATGGAATTTAATTTGATTCAATAGATTTTGAGTGCCTACTGTGCACCATGCACTGTTCAAGACCTTAGAGACAAAATGATGATGAAGTTCTGAGATAAAACCCATCTCAAAGGGCTGTGGACCAATTAAATATAATAATATATATAAATTGCTTAACAAATAGCAGTGAAAGTGTTAGTTGCTCAGTCATGTCCAACTCTTTGCAACCCCGTGGACTACAGCCCACCAGGCTCCTCTGTCCATGGAATTCTCTAGGCAAGAATACTGGAGTGGGTAGCTATTCCCTTCTCCAGGGAGCATACAGCAAGTGTTGATTAAATATTAGTTCTTGCTCTGTACCACTGATGCAGCTACATACTGGTGATTTTTGAATATCTATATTAAGTGGGGAAAAAATGTGTTTGAGAGATATTCCACCCATGGGTTCCCCACTGTATTCTGAACCTTACCAAAGTCTGCTGGGCAAGCTGTACCTGTCTTTAGTCTTGCTATATCATGTCTAGAACCCTAGGGCCTGAGAGCATAGGCTGGTGGATTCACACCTGCAGGAAGGAGGCCATGAAAAAAGCAGATATTCAGTGGAAGCATACTCACTTCCTGACAGTCGTAAGGACTCACCGTGTCCTTGGCCATACCTCATGCCAACTCCCAGAGAAAACAAGAAAAACCAGACACATAAGGAGCATAGAGTATAACCCAGAGTGTTAAGAGAATTAGATGGAAGATAAGTGATGAGGTGAGGAAGGAGGTCCCCAAGGAGCAAACAGGGCGAGCCAGCAAAGAGAGCAAAGTGATTCAGGGCTGAAGAGGCCGGTCCAAGCCAGGGAGGACACTTAAATGATAGGGCAAGGGCACTCACGGCTAGAAGGGTCAGAGACTGCTCAGGACACCCCAAGAAGACTATATACCTCTTAGTCTGTATGCTTGCCTCCATGCTCACATCTGTGTCCCTGGCCACCCCAGGACTTCGGATGGTGACGAGCTTGCCAGTACTCTATCCTCCTTCTTGGCCTTTGGAACCTTTTATGGAAGCAGACACCTTGGTGATGTCTGGAGGATTAATTACAGTGGCCATGAGCCCAAGCTTTCAGAGGACTGTCAGGAAAAATATATCTTAATCCTTTGCTCTTCGGATCAAGAATTCCATTCCCAGCCTTGGTCAATTTAACTGGATGCAAAAATAACACTGGGAGTGCCTAACGCTTCTGGATCTCAGGGCTGTGCTGAATGTTTTTTTGATGTTTAATGGATACGTGGTCTGACTTCTGCTTTGAGGACCTTAGAGTCCAGTGGTAGAGATAAAGCAATCATAAAACACTTCAGAGATACATAGTTATATAGACAAATGAGAACAAAGTCCAGTGTCAAAACACATGCTTTCTTCCTGCCATGAGGCATATTGAACCTCAACTGAACAAACCTGAGGAGGAAAAGGGAGCTTGTGCTTTCCTGAGGCCCAGTCATCTCTCCCTATTCACCTCCCAGGTGGGGTCCTCTGAAGGAGGATATATAGGGCCCTGTGCCAACAAATGCAAACTGCTCGGAATGGTAATAAAGAGCCTACCAGATGCCAGGCATGTTGTTCAGCTCATTTGATGCTCATGCCAATCATTGCTAGTACATATTATTATAGGCCCATTTCAGAGGAGAGGTAACTGAGGCATAGTTCTTCTTAGTTGAAAAGTTAAATTATTTGCCCAGGATTACACAGCTAGAAGTTTCACTCTGGTGCCAAAATACATGCTTTTAATGGTTCTTTCTCATCTCATGTTAAGAGTAGTGGCATTGACTTGAACAGGAAAAAAACCATGTCATGCCATCTTCAAACAAGATCTTGGGTTTCTTTGGCTTCCTTTCTGAAGCACCTTCAGCCTTCTCATGGTGCCTGGTCCAAAGGCATTTTGGCAGCTCCATACAAGCCAGGGACAAGCACGGGATACAGAAATGTTCTTGTCCTGAGGTTTCCAAATCTGGCTGCTTATCACCATCACCCAAAGAGCTTTTAAAAATTACAGATTCCCAGGCCCTTGAGCCCCAGGAAAGATTCAGACTAAGCAAACCCAAGGTGGGACCTGGAAATCTGCATTTTCACAAGGACCCTATGGAAGTGCCAATTGTCAGCATAGGCCTGATCCCCAGGTCCTGTCTGTACTTGGTACCACTCCCAGAAAACTTTCAGAAGGACTGCTAGTCCCCAGCAGTTTACACAGGGACTTTCTTCTTTGTGATAACTGGGTAATACTGCCAGAGGCATGTTCTTGAGGTTTTCACTCCAGATAGTGCAGAAGCAGAGAGGTAACATGACTGTCAGCTGCATGAGGAGGTGCCTGATTGTTCTCGAAAAGAAGGATGCTAATATTTGGGAAGCAGCTACTACAAGGGCAGGTCTGGCACTCTTACTTCCTTCATTGTGGAAATTCTTTCCTCAGCCTCTTACTGAATACACGCCCAGAGTCACAGAGTTTAACTTTATCACCTCAGAGCCTTGTAACTCTTTTAGTTTCAATTCCTTTTTTTAAAAATGAAAGTATATTTGATTTATAATATTGTATTAGTTTCAGGTGTACAAGAAAGTGTTCCAGTTATTCTTTCAGATTATTTTCTATTATAGGTTATGAAAAGATATGGAATATATTTCCTTATGCTGTATAGTAAATACTCATTGTTCCTTTACTATTTTATGTATAGTGGTTTGTATCTGTTAATCCCATACACCTAGTTTATCCCTCCAACCCTCATTCCTCTTCCCTTTGATAACCATAAGTTTGTTTTCTATGTCTGTGAGTCTATTTCTATTTTATAAAAAATAGAATTCATAAAAAATAGATTCATTTGCATTTTTATTACATATATAAATGATATCTTATAATATTTGTCTTTCTCCCTCTGACTTACTTCACTGAGTGAAATATTCTCCTGTTGCAAATGGCAATGTTTCACTCTTTCTTACGACCAATATCCCATTGTATATATGCCGTATTATCTTAAGCCAATCATTTGTTGATGGGCACTTGTCTTATCCTTGTCTTGGCTAATGCAAATAGTATAGTTCCGATTCTAATAAGCTTGATTATCTGGATTCCTAACACATGAAAAGTTAACTTCAGTAGATTAAAAGGAAAGGAAGGAAGTCCATTAACAGCAGTAAGAATACCACCAGCCATCGACAGCTTACATGTTTTCCTCAATGGTGCAGTAATTAAAATAATAGTTAAAGTGTATGGGGTGTTTACCATGGTTCAAGTACTGTGTTAAGATTTATATATATGACCTCACTTAAACTTCTCAACTCTTAATTATGTATGATACCTATTTTACAGAGAGGTAAACTGAGGCTCACAGAGGATAAATAGTAACTTTTTCAAGGTCCCCTAGTTAACCCAAGTGTGTTCTGACACTGAGACAAAAACATGAAAAGTATAAAAAGCAGATATGAACCTCAAGGTAGTTTGGGGCTACATGGCCCTACCCACTCAATAGGCCGTAAGGTTCAGTGTGATTAAGGTCACCCATAGTGATGCCCAGGAGTCAAGGCAAGTCTATGCTAGCAGTCAGGCTTTACATAAAGAAATAGTGAAGCCAATTTTTATGTTTTAAAGGTTTCTGTCTAAAATGGGCCACAAACATGTTAGAATAAGCATCCTGTATTTAGATGCTCTTATTTCATGCAAATTCCAGACTTCTAAGCATGTTCAAAGTGAAGTAAATTACGTGCATTAAGAACATACTGTCATAGCCAAAGATACTTCCTCATCATCTCTTAATCTCATGGTTGTGTACATTACTTTAGCAACAGGAGCAACTCCCCCTGAAGCAGCAGAAAGTTTTCATTTTGGACCTGTTTAGGACTCGGAACATTGCTACAATAACCATTATGTCTTTGCTGCTATGGTAAGTAATAAGAGATCTGGAAATGTGCCATACAGTGTGTAAATATAGAGCTGATTTTCTTTCATTCAAGGGACAGGGTCAAGGCCTGGGTCATCCTGAGACAAAATTAGAATTTTAGAATCTAAGTTATTTGGAAAGCCTTTAACTTAATTTAAGGGCTTCCCTGATAGCTCAGTTGGTAAAACTGCATTGCTCTTAGCCTGCAATGCAGGAGACCCCCAGTTCAGTTCCTGGGTTGGGAAGATCCCCTGGAGAAGGGATAGGCTACCCACTCCAATATTCTTGGGCTTCACTTGTGGCTCAGCTGGTAAAGAATCCACCTGCAATGCGGGAGACCTGGGTTTGATCCCTGGGTTGGGAAGATCCCCTGGAGAAGGGAAAGGCTATCCACTCCAGTATTCTGGCCTGGAGAATTCCATGGACTGTATAGTCCATGGGGTGGCAAAGAGTTGGACACAACTGAGTGACTTGCACTTTCAACTCAATTTATGGAACTGAATACTGAAAAAATTGTCAAAGGGAACAATATTTAAAGGGAAATTTGACCCACATGGAGAGGGTCCCCTGCCCCTCCTAAAGTTACTGGGATTAAAACTAACGCTGTCCCTGATGCCTGAAGCTGAGATGCTAACTCAGCTTCTGCTTCCAGAAGTTGTACAGGCAATTAATCAGTGAGGTTAGAATACCCTGAGTCCCCACTGCCTGACTTGGAGTTTTGACAAGCTTTTTACACTTGCTAATAGCAGTTTACTGAGTGATTTTTAAAGCACATAAATAATGAACTGACTTTGTAGGTAAGATTTAATAATATATCTGCCAAATAACAGACTTTATGACCCTGAATTAAGCAAGTGTGTCCTGGACACGTGACTTTCCTCACAATGGACCTACTTAGTTCTTACATGTCAGCAGGTATCACAGATGCAAATGTATCTTGAGAAGGGGTACTATTGGGCCAACAATAAAGTAGTCATTAGTTTTATTCATGTTGCTCTTATTATCAAATGTGAGAATCACTAAGATCCTAGAGGAATAAAGTTTCGTGTTTTGTTTTGGATTAGCCCTTGTGTTATCCAACCTAATAGAGTATGTATAAGAAGATCCAACAGTGTTCCTGAAAATATTTTTCAGATGTTCTCTGCTTTTCAGTCACATTGATAATAAGCAAATTTCTCCACAGAGGAGTCTGCGTAATGTTATATATAACTTAGTGTTTTTTCCACAGAAAAGCTTTTATGTGGAAGTTAACTATAATGGCGGGATATGCAATGTGCATTCTGTGATACCTTGAAGCATTATGAGTGAGACTCATTTTTTTCCCTAAAGTGAGTTTTACTAAGTCAATTGGAATTTACTGTAAGTGGATCCCACAGTATTACCTATGTATCTTTTTCTTTTTTGGGGGTGGAGAATGAAATATGGATTTTATGTTCACTGATGTGACAGTCTTTCTTCAAATAATATCTCTAAGGGGATGAGAATGTATTGTACAAGCTATTCTACTGAAACCTGAATTTAGCTAGATTAGGATAGGTAATTGTTGAATATTTGTATATTTAGACTTAGTGCTGTCCAACATAACTTTCTGCAATGATAAAAACATTTTATATCTCTGTTGTCCATTATAGTAGTCACTAGCTCTATGTGGCTACTAAGGAATTGAAGTGTGACTAGTGCCAAAGTGAGGGATGAAATTCTAAATTTTATTTGATTTTAATTTTTACTTTTAAATAGCCCTATGTGGCTAGTCACTACTTGTAAGATACCAAGATATGGACAACTTCCTAACCATCATGAAATTGTAAAGTGACTCAAGCCATCCTTTTGTCATTTTTGTCTTTTGATTTCTAGGATGTTAACCTCAGTGGGTTACTTTGCTCTCTCTCTCAATACTCCTAATTTACATGGAGATCCCTACCTGAACTGTTTCTTCTCTGCCTTGATTGAAGTTCCAGCTTACATTGCAGCCTGGCTGCTACTTCGAACCCTACCCAGACGTTATGTCATAGCTGGAGTACTGTTCTTTGGAGGAACAGTGCTTCTCTTAATTCAATTGGTCCCTGCAGGTAAGAAGCTATCCAAAATTAACAACTTACCAGAAAAGATCCACACCTTGACCAGCCTAGTTATTAGTCATGTGTGCGTGTGTGCTTAGTCATTCAGTCGTGTCCGATTCTTTGCAAGCGACCCCATAGACTGTAGCCCACCAGGCTCCTCTGTCCATGGCAAGAATGGACAAGAATACTGGAGTGGGTAGCCATACCCTTCTCCAGGGGGTCTTCCTGACCCAGGGATCAAACCTGGGTCTCCTGCATTGCAGTCATATGCTTTACCATCAGAGTTACTAGGGAAGCCCTAATTATCAGCCACTGTTCCCTATTTATGTAGCTTTTAGATAATAAATGGTCTTCCCTTGTGGCTCAGCTGGTAAAGAATGTGCCTGCAATGTGGGAGACCTGGGTTCGATCCCTGGGTTGGGAAGATCCCCTGAGAAGGGAAAGGCTACCTACTCCAGTATTCTGGCCTGGAGAATTCCAGGGACTGTATAGTCCATGGGGTTGCAAAGAGTTGGACACGACTGAGAGACTTTCACTTTCCCCTTTGGAGAAGGAAATGGCAATCCACTCCAGTACTCTCACCTGGAAAATTCCATGGACTGAGGAGTCTGGTAGGCTACAGTCTATGGGGTCGCAAAGAGTCGGACATGACTGAGCGACTTCACTTTCACTTACTGTCACTTACATAATAAACCATTCATAAGTTGGTTACATGAGAGATAGCTAACTGTGATTTCCTTTGTTCAAAATTAGTCCCTTCAAACGGAAGGGTTAGCCTCAGAGAACCAGAAATAACCACCAGAAGAAGAGTGATGCTCACAGTGCATCCCCTTCATAGAAACTTTCACCTAATCCCTCAAACTTTTCTTTGAGTCATAAACCTGAGTGCTAATTTCTTGGTACTTTCAAACCTTCTCTCTGATTGATGTATATATACAAGTGTTAAGAGTTGGTAGTACATGCCAGTTCCAGTATGAATTCAGTGATTTTTATGGTCTGTAACCTTTAAGTAGTTAGAAAGCACATGAAAAGATACACGCTTCTCTTTTCCTCTTATGTCCAAGTTTCTCATATTGTTACAGCATTAAGTCAACAGATTATTGATATATAGTATTATACATAGAAGTATATATCTCAATAATAATAAGTAGGATAAAAGGATTGGTTCTTCTCTTCAAAGATTAAACTTAACTGCATTAACAAGCTAACAATTGACTATGAAACTGTTGTAATTAAAGTGTAGATAAGGTCACGGAATGCAAAAATAATCTAGAATGACAGAAGAGTGAAGCTCAAAGCACCCTTCACTCTCCATCTTTTTCTATGTCCAGTTAGTAAGACTTTGAAGAAGAAGTGTAATTTGGGGAATATCTTTATATTATAAAATATTTGTATACGAAACATATTATGAAACATTCTTATAAAAGCAATAGGGACAAAACAAGCAACTGTTAAGTAAGTATTGTTTCTAAAAGTACCTCTGTTTACACTGGGTCTCTTTTCCAGATTACAACTTCTTGTCCATTGGTCTGGCCATGTTGGGAAAATTTGGGATCACTTCGGCCTTTGCCATGCTGTATGTCTTCACTGCAGAGCTCTACCCAACCCTGGTCAGGAACATGGCAGTGGGGGTCGCCTCCATGGCCTCCAGAGTGGGCAGCATCATTGCTCCCTACTTTGTTTACTTAGGTGAGATGCATCTTATCAGTCTATCCTTTTTAAAAAATATATCTATAAGTAATAGACTTTTTGTTGTGAAAAATGCAAACAGCACAGAAAATACTGGAAAGTGTACAAGATCAGCTGTACTCTCTCAGTTCCTCAAATCACAGCCCTCAGAGGAACTAACATTTGGTGAGTAATCCTCCAGACGTTTCGTTTTGTACAACACACACACACATTTTTAAATACACAAAATTGTATCATAAATATTGTTTCATGACTTTTTTAAACTTAACATTGTATCAGAATACCTTTCCTGATTGGTGTATATATAGTTTTCATCTTCGCCTTTCATCTTTCCTATAATTTCATACCATGCTCATGTAGTCTAGTTGGTATGTATGTAGTTCTTTTATCTTCTTTTTAGTTACTACATAGACTTCTAATATATGTGGACACATAATTTATTTAACTAGGTTCATGGATGAATATTTAGACCATTTCCAAGTTTTGTTATTGCAAATAACACTACAGTGAACATTCCCCTACACCCCCACAGCCTTTGTATATATGGATCAATGGATTGCTGGAGCAATTTAAAAATTTCATAGATATTGCCAAACTGACTTCTGAATACTATACCAGTTTACAATCCAACTATCAATATATGAGAGTGTCTGTTTCTCCACATCTTCACCAACAGTGGGAATCATCCAATTTTTTAATCATTGATAATTTGTTGTGTGAAAAATAGATATCATTGTTGCTTTCATTTCTTTTTCAACTATGAATGAGGTTGAATATTTTTTCATGTATTTATTAACATTCTATTTATTTTTAAGATATCTTACTGTCCATGTCTTTTCCCATCTTTCTAATGGCTTATTCAACATTTATATTTTGAGGGGGGGAGCTTTTTGTAATTGAAAAAATTAGCCCTCTGTAGATATATTGTAAATATTTTTTCCTAGTTTATCATTTCCATTTTGACTTCATGACTTTTTTTGCAGTGCAGGAACTTTAGATGTTATGTGATCATATTTATCCATCAGAAGTGCTTTCATGAGATGTTCAGTGTATGTAAGTTCTAGCACTCGAAGCCTAAACCTCATAAGAACTCTACTGGTGAGAGATGGAGACGCAGTTCCTTATTCTTCCTAGTTACTACTGGTTCAAACACACACATACATCCCCAAAGACATATGTGAATTCTCAGAAAAGTTACACTCTAAAACCTTACAGAGAAAGAGAAACATTTTCCACACAGCTGCCCTGAATACCTGAGAAAGTACATTATTATGTAGAATGTCTTTTCATCTTCCCTATGCTTTCAAACCATGCTCATGTGGTCTAATGGTGGACCACTTACATAAGAAATGCAGGAATCTGAGAAAGAGCTTTCTATTCCACAGTCACAGCTCCTGTTGGTGACAACAGAGGCCTTGGAGAAGCTTCAAGATTTATATATTTTTTGTCAAATAAAATTCTTGGTTGTGTTATTCCTCTGTAATCTCTGTATGTAGAAGGGAAGCAAGATGAAGATCTATTATTCTCCTGTCCAAGTAACACCAGATAAAGAAGAGGTGGAGTGGTTCTTCCAATTACATATAAAACCAAGACATATAAATGCTGCAGAAAGAAACCACAGTGCCTGACATTTATTGATTTAAATTGGATTGAATATATTACTTAGATTTTCTTTGAGAGTCTCACAGCTCTTGTGGACCTAGTTTTCTACATCAGCCTACTGGTCTTGGCAAATGCAAAGGTCATATCAGTCATCATAGCCAGTACCCGTCCCTGCAACATCCCGATCTACCTCTTTCCCTGTGGTGTCCTCCCATTCCGCATCTCCAGTCACTTTCACCTTAAGAGAACTTTGGTAGGCAAAGTTTTCTATCAAAAGAACATCTATCATACCTGATTAAGTAGCAGCTTAGAGAATACCAGTTGACATGAAAGACCTTTTGATAACGCAAGATTAAGAGTGAATGATTATGAAAATTCAGACGCAATGACATCTGCCAAACAGAAACTGTGTATTTTGCACACTTTTTTTCTTCTGTAAGTATTCAGATTTAAAACTGTGTGCCACCATTACAAAGTGATTCTCAGCATCTGGAGAGTCCCTCTATCTAACTGATGTCCTTACGTCGTGTGTCTTACAGGTGCTTACAACAGAGTTCTGCCCTACATCCTCATGGGGAGCCTGACTGTCCTGATCGGAATTATCACTCTTTTTTTCCCCGAAAGTTTTGGAAGGACTCTACCAGAGACCCTAGAGCAGATGCAGAAAGTGAAAGGGTAAGTGGAACTTTAAAAAATTATATGTATAAAAAAAGAATAAACATGATAGATAAACAGGAAGGTTCTGAAAAGGAAGAGTAACAAGAGAGGAGAGTATCACTATCAGATAATAAAGCATATTATTAAGCAATGGTAATTAATGGTACAGAAGAATAAATCACTGGAATGGGATAGGGTTCAAAATTAAACTGAATACAATAAGAGAATTCAGTGTGAGATAACAAGTAGCACTTCAAAATCAGTGGGGGAAAGTTAGATTATTCAGTAAAAAGTGTTAGAATATTCAACTAGCCATTTTGGCTACATAAAAAGCTTAAATCCTACTTCAAAATATATCATGATAAATTCCAGAAAGATTAAAAATTGAGACCTAAAAATATAAAGTCATAAATGTACCAGAATAAAACATAAATATTTTATAACCTTCAAGAAGGCCTTTCTGAGCGTGATATGAAAAATAAAAAGCCATTAAGGAAAAGACCAACATATTTGATTAAGCAATTTTAGATATTGTCAGTAGGGCAAAAGTGAAACCATAAATTAGAACAAAGGTCGACAAACCAGGGGGAAAACATTTGCAATACACTAGACAGAGTTAATAAACTTAAGATATGAGATAGACAGAGTTGATAAGATACAAGAAGCTCTTAGCGATCAGTGGGAAAAAGACCAACAACTCAGTAAGAAAACCAGCAAAAGTCATGAACAAGCAGTTTATAGAAAAGAACATTTCAGGGCCAAATATATATATGAAAAGGAAATACCTGTCCACATTAATAAAAAAAAATTTTAATGCAGTATCATTTTTTGGCCTATGAGATTGTGTGAGAGTTTTCTTCCTGATATCAACCAATTCTGACACCAAATAAATGTCCTATAATATCATCCAGTTATGACACTAATTACCCAGGACTAGCGTCTGGCAGCAGCAGTGTCTGACTCTACAGGTTAAAGGCTCGGTCCCATAAGACAGCTTACTCTTCAGCTGCCAGTCACAAGTAATGGGTCCCCAAGCTTATCCACATTTCTGGCTGTTGGGGAGGGGGAAATTTACTCCCTTACCCCTTTAAGTTCTTGTGGTTGAACTAATAATAAAATTGACAAAAGTCCAGTTAAGAGGAAAAAAACACATTTTAATTCATGCATAGAGATCTCTCAGAAAGAGGACAGCAGACATGGCCAAAGCAGGCAGCTTTTAAACTTTTTAGACAAAGAAACAATAAAACTGAGAGGAATTGATAGGACAAAGAAATTTAGGTTTGAGTGCTTAATTGTTATTGTTGTTCAGTCGCCAAGTAGTGTCAGACTCTTTGCAACCCCATGGACTGCAACACGCCAGGCTTCCCTGCCCCTCACCATCTTCTGGAGTTTCCCAAAGACATGAACTTGGGTACTTAATTAGTAAGGAATTTAAATGAAGTGTGGGCCTGGGTGGTAAATTAGTAAAGAAACAGCAAGGTTTATTTATACAGATTTTTTGGCCCTGCCCTGGATTCTCCATCTCTGGTAATAAGGGTGTCCTTCCACCTCCCTATGTGGGGAGTGGGCCCTTTCCAAGAGGGATTTATTTCATGCTTTCGGGGGCACAGAGGAGGCCAGAGCTTCCTTCTGCATTGGCTCCTTCACAAGCAACTTGAATTCAAAATAATCATAATGGGGACTTCCCTGGCAGTCCAGTGGTTAGGACTTAATGCCTTCACTGTTGAGGGTGCAGGTTCAGTCCCTGGTTGGGAAACTAAGATCCCACATGCTGCGTGACCAAAAGCAAAAACAAAATCAAAATGCAAAATAATCAATATGCCATTGTAGCATGTTTGGGGGCAGCCTGCCCTGAGCTCCAACACCTCCAACTTGAGTACAAAGTCTGGTGTTTCCACAACCCCCCCTCCTCACATTCAGGAATTTGCTAGAATGATACACAGAACTTGGGAAAGCATTTTACTTACTATTACCCATTTGTTATAAATAACACAAATGAACAGCCAGGGGAAAATGTGAGGTCCAGAAGGGTCCAGAGCACAGGAGTCTCTGTCCTGTGGAGTTGGGGAGCATCACCATCCCGGCACATGGGTGTGTTTGCCAATTCAGAAGCTCTGCAGACCCCAGTAAACGTTTAGGAGATTTTATGGAGGTTTTTCACCACACAGGCATGATCAATATTGAATTAACCTCAGCCCTTCTCCCTTCTCTGGGGGCTGGAGGGTGGGCTGAAAGTTCCAGGCTTCTAGTCAAGGCTCAGTCTTTCTGGAAACCAGCCTCCATCGTGAAGCTATCTAGGGACTCACCAAGAGACCCCTCATTAGATTAAGAGGTAAGACACTCCTGTTACCCTTGTCACTCAGAAAATTACAAGGGCTTTAGGAGCTCTATTCAGAAACCAGGGACAAAAATCAAATATCTTTCTATGACAACACAGACCGGCAAACGTTTAAAAGATCAGTGGTACGGCAGTAGAAGTTTAAGGTTCATTTTTTTTTTTGTCTGCATTGAGTCTTCATAGCTGCAGGGTTTCTGTAGATGTGGCAAGCAACGGCTACTCTTGGCTGTGGTGTGCAGGTTTCTCACTGTAGTGGTTTTTCTCTTGTTGCACAGCACAGCTCTAGGTGCGCAGGCTTCAGTAGTTGGGGCTTGCAGGCTCTAGAGGGCTGGCTCAGCAGTTGTGGCTCTAGAACTTATTTGCCCCGCAGCACGTGGGAGCTTCCCCAGCCAGGGATTGAGTCCATGCCCCCTGAATTGGCAGGTGGGTTCTCAACCACTGGGCCACCGGGGAAGCCCAAGAGAAGTTTAGATTCTAGAGTGAAACTGCCTGGCTTCAAAACCCAAATCTACTGCAAACTTGGGCAATTTGCTTAGTTTTCACTAGACCTCAGTATTCCCATCTGTTATATGGGAATAGTTCATATGACTTTTGTGATGTTATATAAGATAATGTATTTTTAGTGCATAGCCATGATAAAAATAAGTCCATTTGTGAATGGATTGTGATCCAGACTGGATGTATATAGCAAAAGATGCCCAGTTTTGATAGGCTGTTTCTCCTAATGATAAAACTACTTCAATATCAACTTTAACTTACCAAGAACTTCATGCTTACCACTCTATCCTTTCCTCAGTGAAACTATAAAATTGTGAATACTAGTGCTAGCTATACTCATGAGGTTCTTTTTATTTTATTTTTTTTTGAGGTTCTTTTTAAAGTAATTAATTGTTAATTGACTAGAAAAATGTTTTTTGTGTGTCAATTTGGCATTTTTTTTCATTTAATTTTCTTTGGCATTTATTTTATTTTCAGGTTCAGATATCGGAAAAAAACAAAAGGTTCAATGGAGAAAGGTGAAAATCCCAAAGTTATAATAACTTCATTCTAATAAAATCCCATCCTATTCGGTGAATTGAAAAACATCCATAAGCCTGTGAAGAAACTAAAGCTGTTCCTGATGAAAAGGACTGACTAGGAGGAAAAACACTAAAGTGGACCTTGCTATTAAGAAATGCTTGCCATATGGCAAACTCTGGACCAGACTTGCAGATAAGCTCCTTATTTTTAAAAACAAACCATTTCTAGAGACTTTTCCTAATTAATTCAACGAATTGGGTTCGTTGGATTTTTAGAAAACGTGTTGGTCAAGGACTGGAAAATCCATATATAAAGATTAAACTCATTTCCACATACAAAGACTATCCAAATTTTTTAAAAGTTCATTGAATTAATACAACTACCAGGCTTATGTGTGTGTATAAGTAAACCAGCTCATTCAAAATGACCAAATATATGCAGTATTCCTACCCAGAAAATTTTATACACTGCTTTGAGAAGAATTGATGGCAGATACTAATAGCATTTACAAGTGAAATGCATCAAGAGATCAGACAGCCTGGCTCTATGGCCTGTCAGCATTTAAGAAGGAAACAAGGCCGCTCCTGGCTACAATTTCAGCGGCTATGGCTCAGAGGCTATCAAATGAATCACATTTGTTGTGCTCTTTGTAAACACTTGACTAAGCTTTCTGTTCCCTAAGACTGGCTTAAGGGGCCTTTTTTTTTTTTTGTAAAAAGAAAATCAGGAAAACCACAAACTAGTTAGGCTGGTAGAGGTGATTTGTGTGCCCCATAGCCAAGAGAAGTCAGTACCACAGAAGAAGACTATCCAAGCTAACAATCTGGAGATCCTTTTAAACCAGTTCTTTCCCTTAATATATACCTCCCTAAATACAATATGCAGTTGTAGTCTCTTTAACCATGGGTGCATCTGGTCAGCAATAGCGGAATCTCAGTTCCAGGAATGAGCAAGGTAAAAGCCACAAATGGGATAATGTATTAACATAAGCTCAGAAGATAAATGTCAGCTCTGCATCTCACCACATTTGAGGCATGCTGAGATGATAACATAGCAAACAGTTCCTCCCGAAGACCTGGGGCCCATACTCTCACCAGGAGCAGCTCCTCTCGGAGCAGCAAGGGACAAGCTACTGACCCTTTAACACCACCAGTGCATTGGTGTGCTACTAGTACAGGCAGCCATTGGTTTTTAATATGCTTCTCGTTGGCATCATCTCCTAAAATTAATTATCCCCAAATATAAATATTTACTATCTAAATATTTTTCAAAGGAACCTTTGATGAAACATCTTGGTAAACAATCCTTATTGCTTCAAGACCCTTATCTTGAGCTTTTCAGATTATCTCAGAAGTTTTTCTTTATATTGTCATATTTCTAACACATATTTATACCCCTACAGACACACTGATCCCACTTCCGAGTGTTACCTTAAAACCCACTAGAATTCTTGAGAGAGTTTACACTTTCTCACTGGGGACTCAGGTACACAGCTTCGTCTACCCCGCACCTTTATCTCCCCCACTGGGGCAACCTGTCTGAATCACCTTTCTACCTACCCGGCTGGATACTAGCTGCCTTTCATTCAAAGAGCAGGTCCTGCTGCCTTCCAGGAAATGCTCCTTCAACTTCCTTCCCACCGGCATTGACTGTTCACTCCTCTGTGCTCTTCTGGTATTTGTTTTTACACCTTGCCTCTGTTGGGTTCTTGTCTAGTTGCCCACACCCTTCCCCTACCCCACTTGTCTATAAGCCTCTGGGAGGCCAGGCACCTCACCTTGCTTATCTTTTTACCCTTACTGTAGTGCTTTCTTGCACGGAACAGGCATTTGATGATATTCCTTTCAATTAAAATACTTTGTAATGCTAGCTTGGTGAAAATGTTGTTTGAAACATAGACATTAAAATTTTTTTTTTACATTTAAATTTTTAAACACTGAAGTATAAAATGCACTTAAAGCTTTTTTTTTCATGTAAAAACTAAGGATATGATCATTGCCTTTTCCTGCAGTTATTATATGCATATTATATGGGTGCTTTATTATTATATTTTATAATTGTAAAAACATGACTTTTAAAAATCTATTCATAAAAAAGCAACGAGTACACAAATGCACTATCTCTTTGGTAATTCAAAGCCCAAATAGATCAATACATGCCAAAATAGATGTATTCCTGATTTTTAAAACAACTTTTAAAATTAGGCCTACAAGGCAATGACCTGAACTGGCTTATGAATATCAGTCTCAGACTGATAGCCAATATTACACTGTATGTTAGAGTGAAATATTGGAAGCATCCCATTAACAGTAATTTTATGGATATGTGTTTTAGCACCTTTTCAACATTTTTGGGTTTTAGTAACTATAGTCATAGTATAAAATATAGATTAAAAATAAAGCTATTATAAAATAGGCAAAATTATCAATATTACAAGGATTCTATAATCATATTCTATTTTATTTTTAAAATCCAAGAGAATTAACTAAAAGTTCTAATATTTAGGAGTTTGGAGGCATATAAGAAATTTTCCAAAATCAGCAACTTTTTATGTACTAGAAATAATCAGCTAGAAAATACACTAGAGAAAAACAGGTTCCATTCTTAATAGTCATAAAAACATAAAATACCTACAAATAATCTCTAAACAAACATATGAAGTCTAAGTGAAAAAATTATTCCATTTTATTAAGAGTTGAGTAGAGACATGCTGTGTGTAAAATGAATGCTGTGGGCCTACCTACCATTCTTACCAAATTAACTCACTAAAATTAATATTCCAGTGACATATTTTAGGAACTCAAAAACTAATTTTAAAGGGCATCTGAAAGAACAATAGGCAAGACTAAGAAATTTGGGGGAAAGAAGAGTTGTAAGGTAAAACATCCTTCAGATTTAAAAATACAAAGATGTCACTCGGGTGTATGCTCCTCGGTTCTTTGTCTCGTCACAACAAAAATTTGGAGTGACGGACATTAAAGCCCCTTGGCGGGTCACAGCTCTCGGAGGACAGACCGTGTTATAGCTCTCAGGTCTCGAACGGACCGTGTTATAGCTTTTAAATAAATCAGTGTTACAGCTCAGTGTTACAGCTCTATTTATTTAGATAATAGCAGGAAAATCCATCTTTGAGGCATCAGGGCACGTCGATCCAAAGACGCGAAGAGAAGATCGCCCCATCGTGCGGGGGAGAGAGGGAGCAGAAAAGGGGAGAAGAGAGCTTTGGCTCCTCTTTTTATAAGTTTCTGTCCCTGGGCCTGTCTTATGTAAATTGGGCCGGCCAGGAGTGTTGTTGGTTTTACCTGAGGTTCTCACTCCAGTCCTCGGACCTTCCTTTGTTCTATTTTCGCGGGCTTTCCCTTCCAGGTCTTTTAGCCACTGCCATTTTAGACTCTTTTTCCCTATTCTAAATACCTAGCAAAGATAAATAGGAAGGCCAGAAACAGACCCAAATGTTTATTAAATTATAACATATGATAAAGTGCATTACAAATTATCAAGAAAAAGATAAACTATTCAAAACTAGTTCTGGGACAACCGACAAACTAGGGAAAAAACAGGATCTTACCATAAAACACATACCAAATTAATTCTTAATGGATTAAAGGGTCAAAAGTAATAAATAAGCTGAAAGAAAATACAGGTGATTGTTTAATCTCAGGATGGATAGGGAATTCAAGATAAGGTAAAATAAACAGATTTTGCTATAAACTTTAAAAATTTTCTGTACACCAAAAATCTTAAAATTAACACAAATTTGAAAAATGTTAACAAAAATATTTTGGACAAAGTTAGTTTCCTTTCTGTTTATTCATCAATTTAAAAGTACCAGCTAATACTCCAGTTGAAGCAAATAGTAGGAAGGTTAAGTGCACCTTTGGAGACCAGTGTTCTTAGGCCTAGTGCCGGGTCTGTCATTTATTGGTTGGGTAGCCTTGAGCAAGTTAAACAGGCACACCTCATTTTATTGTGCTTTGCTTTATTGTGCTTCACTGATAACTGCATTTTTTTTTTTTACAAAGTTTTGTGCAACCTTACATTTTCAGATGATGGTTAGCATTTTTTAGCAATAAAGTATTTTTAAATTAAGGTTTGAACTTTTTTTTTATGACACAATGCTATTACACTCTTAACAGACTGTGGTATGGTGTAAACATAATTTTTATGTGCACTGGGAAACCAAAAGATTCTTGTGGCTCACTATATTGTGATATGATGGTGGTCTGGAACTGGACCTGCAGTATCTCTGAGATATGCTTCATATCTCTGATATTCTTGAGTCTTCCTAAATCTCAGCCTCTTCATCTCTGAAGGAGGCCAAGCAGTTCCACGGGATGACTCTGAGGAGTACATGAGATAATGCTCATATTTAGCCCCCTACCTAGCAGACTTAGATGTTTTCCTCTATCTCACATCTCACTGTACTCAACAGTTAATCATTATAATCAACTTCCTTGCCCCTTTCTTAATCCACCTTACTCTCCTAGGCAAACTGCAATGCTGGTTAAATCCAGCCCCCCTCCTACTTCCATCAGCACCTGCACTGCTGGACATCGCTGAGGGGAAAAAATATGCAAAACATGCTGACTGGTTTCATTTAAAATTAATCATCAGTCGTCCAGAGGAACTTTAATGCTGACTGACAGTCATGCTCCACTGCTTCACTGATCCATTCTCTATCCTCAATGACCTTTGTCTTCAGACCTCTAATATCTCCTCCCCCATGCTCACGCTCAGCTGGGCCTTTTCTTCCTATTTCACTTAAGCTCTTATCATCTTAATCTACCAATCTAACTGCCTTTGTATCCTTACACTCTGTCTTTTCTCCTATTATTTGAGATCAATTGTCTCTGCTCCTAGCAGAGAATTCTCTCTCTCTCTCTCCCTCTATATGTGTGTGTTTCTGTATTTGGTGCCCCCATCCCCTCCTTACCTACTTAAGGACATTGCTCCAGCAATTAATTCTCCTGCCTGCTCTATGATTGATCTATCAATCTTTTCTCTCTCTACTGGATCTTTATCATTCAGCAT